GGCCGCAACGACGCTTTTATTGGTTCCGCTATCGAGACTCATGGAATAAGGTCGAGCCATTATTTTTTTTTTTTAAATAATTTTTTTTTGTCAATTTATTGTTTTATTTAGATTACAAAAATAAATCGTAATAAAAATAATCCTATTTATGATGTTTTAAAAATTAAGACCTATGAAAGACTGATTTAAGACATTTTAATACCAATAAAGGCCTTAGTTTTATTTTGAAGAATTCAATGCCTTTTAAGACTTTTTAACGACCCGCGGGAACCCTGCGGAGCGACTTTAACAGTCGCATTCGTCATCAGTATTCACCGCTGGCTTTTACATAAGACGATGCAACGAGGTGTTGCCGGAAATCTGGAGAAATCACGGCCTCTGCAGCTAGGGTAATTTACCTTTTGATATGATTTATTAATAGGTGTGACAGGTAAACTGTTATTCATCTGCCAATGTTTGCAAAGTAAAAAGTATGGAAAGCTTTTATTCTAGTTTGTTAGTTGCTTTTACTGATAGTTTTTTGATAGCCTTTTAAACATCTTGGTGCGTGGTTCTTTAAAGTGATACACGAGTTTTGAAGGGTTGCATTCAGCCCAAACAATCCTATGATTTCTTCTGAGACACTAAAATGTGGCTAGTTTGAAATCAAAGAGCTGCTGTGATAACTGGATTGGTGGATGGATCCCAGATTATGGCTGGCATTTGAATTGTCTGATCTGTAGGCTGAAAAAGGATGCAGCTCTTTAATGAAGACAGTTAGCGAAGCTGAATTCTCCTCAACTCAAGGTGAACTGATTTCTCACTCTAATTTCAAAGACTCTAAACCAGGAAACATTGGTTAGGTTTAGAAATCTCTCTACTCTGTACATGTCTCCATAGAGCAGGGAGTCTTTACTTCTTATCCTCACTAATATGATTTATTTTTGGTATATCATATACACTACCGTTCAAAAGTTTGGGGTCATCCAAAAAAAATGTTGTGTTTTCCTAAAAAGTCACACCTATTCACCACCATATGTTGTGAAATGAATAGAAAATAGAGTCAAGACATTGACAAGGTTAGAAATAATGATTTGTATTTGAAATAAGATTTTTTTTTTTTTTTACATCAAACTTTGCTTTCTTTAAAGAATCCTCCATTTGCAGCAATTACAGCATTGCAGAACTTTGGCATTCTAGCTGTTAATTTCTTGAGGTAATCTGGAGAAATTGCACCCCACGCTTCCAGAAGCAGCTCCCACGAGTTGGATTGGTTGGATGGGCACTTCTGTTTCTCAAAGTAGAGACTCTAATGTACTTATCTTCTTGCTCAGTTGTGCAACGCGGCCTCCCACTTC